ATTGACTTCCATTACATTTCTACAGCCTAACCCTGACCACAAACCCTAAAGCTAACCTCACAGGTACCTACCTGACCCTAAAGCTAACCTCACAGGTACCTGACCCTAAAGCTAACCTCACAGGTACCTACCTGACCCTAAAACTAACCTAAACCCAACCCCCAACCCACCAGTGGCATTTAAACCAAATGGGGACTCAACTTTTGTCCCCAAATGCACCAGTTGTCCCCAAAGGTAGGCATTTTGTCTTAAAATTGCCCCCAAATGTCACCAGAAACAAACACACATACTTATACTTCCATCAAAGTGAAGACTAAATTGATGCCTAATCCAGATATTTCCCTAACCCTAACTTTAACACAAACCTAATACACACCATATCTCTAAACCTATAGTAGAGTGCAGCAGAGCTGCAAAAAAAGTGACTGGGAAAATGTCCTTACCTCCCAAAAACGACCTCATCAATGACCTTGAAAGAAATAAATGATTTGCGTGTTCGTTACCAAGATGTGTGCGAAACCATACAGAGAATGTGCACAAACAATTGAGAGTCTTAAAGAACGGCCATACAAAACCAGAGCTCTGCTGATGTTCGGTTTAATGGTACCAGAAAATCAGACCCAATCAGGAAAAAACAAGAGTATTTAACATTCACTTCAGGGCAGGACTCCGCCTTTTGATTATGTCACCAGTGAAAGGGGCCCTGTCTTTGTCAGAGTCCTGCCCTCTTACAAAGAAATCTATCCTGATGATTAAAAGTTCAATCCAAGATGTGTTGTTTTTGTTATCAGACATGTACCTATTAATCATCAAGTTAGTCAAAAGTCACATTTAACAGTCTACCATAAAATTCTACCATAAAACAACCCATTCTATGTGTAATGTAATTAAATCAGTAAGTAACATAAACCCCAATAATTTTCTTCAACCTGGTTAAAAACATGCGATGGTCCTCACTCTGTAGCAGAAACAAGTTCACACACACCCAATCAATCTCCAACCAGACWGTTTATTCCACACCTCAACCTTTTTAGAACAATTAAACTATGTTGCATTAAAATAAACAACTCTTTTACATATGCTCATCTCCTGCTGCTCCTAACCAGGAGAGGAGTTCAGTTTTAGCTAAAACGGTTAGCATGAAACTCTTGTCTTCTGCTGAAGGGACTGGAGAGGTTGATAGATCAACATGTATCAGACAGGTCTTTCTACAGAAACAGCCTTGCATCTTATTGTTTTGTGAACAAAACAGTCTGGCACTTTGACAATATGTGCTTGGCTGCTTCCTGGACATACAGGAGGCATTTGACAGCGTATCTGTAGAAGCTAGAGCCAGCAAAATGGACGAGACAACTACAAATTGGCTCGTTTTCATGCTTCGATAGGGGTGGGTGTATCTATCGAAGTATCAAAAATATCATATCAGATCAATATTAGCGTGATGAGATTGATTTTTTTGTTTATACATTTTTTCCTGTTTAATTCATCATCTGGAACTGGAAACAGTTTGGCACAGCTGCAGACCTACTGAGACACACGACTGTCATGATAGTAGCTAGGATGTGTTTTAATTGGCATTAATATGAGCTGAGCTGGAAAAATGAGTCTCAGCGAGAATTAGAAAATAATTCTTTCTGAAGACACAGCTGTTAGAAACATTTTATTTAAAGGTTTAGTTTACTTACTGGGATTGTTATTTGGTGTCTTTATGAACTCGTTTTTTATACAAACCTCAGTTACAGCAAATAAAAATCAAGTTTTACACTGCAGCCTGTGCTCATTCCCACTCAGTTCACCTGCACCTGCATCATTCATTTCTGCTGACAGCTGAATAAAATCCCCCCTCCACCTGCAGCAAAAGAAGAAACTCTGCATAAAACACACGAACGTGGTGACTGAAGCTCTAAAAGAAGGACTGACTGAAGCCACTGCTGCTAGTCCAGCCACCAGTGAGGGTCCCTCTCACCTGGGTGGTGCAGAGACAGTTGAAAACGAGTTGTAGCTGTTGTTTGGTCTTTGACAATCRACCTGTACAAACAGCTGGATTTGTTCTCCCTGACGGTTGCGTCTCCCAYAGGACAGCAGACACACAACCCGCCTACAGTTTCCACAGTGTTCTGGGTTTGATTTGTTCAAAGAGGCCAAGCAGCTTCTAAGATAACAGCATTAWTTCAGTAAGACCAGGCGCTTCACATTGCACGTTTGCCACATCTCCTGTAGTGTCTCTGTGGCTTTATCAGYTTTGAGTGAAACATTCTCCCACAGCCCTGTCTGTCTGTCGGGCCTTTTTTTTTTCCCATCACGTTTCACCCCATGAGTAAACATGTTCTCTCAGGCGGTCCTGATCAGTCCTGCTCTCTAATGTGGATGTCTCGAGTCCATTTGATCATCGTCTCTGGAGATCGGTAGAGGAAGATCAGTTTGGAGTAAAGCTCTTCTTCCAGCTCCAGCTCTCCAGTTTCTCGCACCTCCAAAAACACACAGAGGACGTTAGAAAGCAGACAGGAAAACTCTGAATATCTAATAACTCTGTGCTTATAGTCAGGATAAAAGTAAAGTTAGTCACAAATGTCACATTYACTACATTAAAAAAAGCTAAAACTAGGATTTTTCTTTAGAAATTTATCATGTTTTTTTTCTTGTGGCTCATAAACATCTCGTGACTGCACCCTTCCTACCTCTACTGGATTATGCTGATGTTTACATGAACCAGCTCTCTGCACATGTGCCCTGTAAACTGGTAAATTGGTCATTATTTAGCCAGACTTCTCCACTGGTCTGCTGCCTCCCTATCAACGATGTCACAAAGATTTTATTTCTACAGACTATTTGTCTCAATGAGGTTACCTGTCTCAATAAAAGTAATTAAATAGTGTATTCTAGTGAAAAAACTCTTCATAATAAATAACATTTAGTGTGTGTGTGTGTGTGTGTGTGTGTGTGTGTGTGTTAATGTAGACAGACTAACCAGGAAGATGTCGGTGCAAAGTTTCAGGATACGGTCCACACAGGGCAACTCCTCGAACATGATGGAGTGAGAAATCTCACTGAAGAAGCCACGCACAAACTTCCCAACGACCAGGACCACAGACACATACAGACCCATGATCCTAAAGAGTGAAACAAACACGAGGGAAAACAACAGAACAGATATAAACAAACTCATCTACAAGCTTCACTCCTGCCGTCTCCCCTAATCAAACTTCAGGTGGGAGCACTTCAGTTTTTCTATAATTGGTCACATTCTCCTTTGATTCAAGAATTATAATTTTTCTTAATAAAATATTAAAATAATAAAGTTAAGAGTTACAAACATATTTGGAAAAAGAAAAAAGAAGAACTAAGTTATACAGAGTTTTAATTATTCAAATGGACTTGTTTTGGGGATGTTTATATACAGACCATGGAGGTTATATTTAACAGGTGACCGTGTGGTCGGCTGGTGAAGCTAACGGCTAACGCAAAACAGTCAAGAGTCTGGATTTCCCATTACTGTACATGTTGACGACAGAGCAGAAAAAATGTTGTTGAATGTTGTTGAATGAAATTAACACAGTTATTAATTTATTGCAAAAATATTACAGATAATCTGTGAAACAGATCCGGTTCAGCTTGCTGTTTATCTATTAGTTTCTATGGTGGATGTAAGCCGTTGCCCTGTTAGGTCTCAGTTTCTGCTCCTCCATGCTGTCACAGACGCTACCAGTGGACGGGACAGGCGGGGCTCAGTCTAGTGTTCTTACTCAAGTCTATGATATAGACAAGAAATTAATAGTTTCACAATCTCTGAGCAAAAGAGATCACTAATTTTGGCTTTACTTTGATGACAAGTGAAGATTGATTTCTACAAAAGACAGATTTTTTTGAAACATTTCTGTCCAAAACACAACAACAACAAAATCATAATTTATATTGACCATGTTTAATTTATAACAGCTATAATAGCATAAAACATCCAAGGTAGTGAATATTTTTCATAGGCAGGGTATGTGAAAATTAAATATCTCTGAATTATATTTTTGCTTGTGTTTGTTTTTACCCATATCCAGCCAGGAATCCCAGGCTCGGTGGACTGACTTTGTCGTTGAATATGATCATCGGTAGAACGTCACATGAAGAAGGCTCACAGTTTGCAATGGCAATGTTCCACCACTCCTGGTTCCCCGAGCTGTTTGGAGACCTGTTGCTCATCAGGGACAGCGTTATATCAAGGAAATCCTCTTCATCGTCTGCAAGAACATCAGATTCAATTAGATCGACTTCTGATTGTGTTCAGTTTTCTATCAGCTCATAACCAAATATCTGCGCTGTAAACAATAAGAGTTTTGTGAACTTTGACCTTTATACAGCTGACTGACTGGTTTGGCCTCTGCTCCATTGGGGGCACGGATGTAGTTAGGGAACATATCAGGAACACGCCTGAGGAACGGCAGGGGAAAAAAAACCATCTGCTACATGCAAAATAAAATCCAACAGAAATACAGGTGCAACAGTTTTATTCCTTTAAATACTCAATTAGTAAACCTACACAGGCTCGGTGCGATTGCCAATCAGTAAGGATGCCAGATCAGCTCTGACTGGGTTTCCAGACTCCAGGTTGATGGAATGTTTCCCAAAAGTGTGTTCAACAGTTCCACCTTTACCCAGGTCCCTGTCACACAACACAAACGTTCAGACACATGCATCCTACGTGAAGAATTTAAACACGTGTCATATACTCAGAAACATAAAGAGAGACAAATATTTACACTAAACTCTTAAATTATTACTCTTTAGTGTATTAATGATGAATGATAACATCATATTTATTTAACACAACTTATAATACTACATTTCTGAAGTCCTACCTCTGGAAGTTCCAGGAAAGCCGTAGCGTGAGGTCCGCTGAACTTCCAAGTAGCTCTTTAATGACTTCCTGTCTGCTGGGTGGACTGATCCTCCAAACGGATCCAGAACTGCCTTCGATGTTGGCTGTAACAATGTCTTCACAGCTGTACAGCGTGATGAACTGCATGGCTACCTAATTGTACGCACACACAAAAACCCAAGTTACCAAACGTTAAAGGAATTTTAAGCATATTTTCAATCTGTACACAGCGAGATTATCTAGCTGCAGTTTTAGTGAGGCTGTTGGCAAGTAGCTCAGCTGGTAAATCAGCAGCCGGAACATTTGGCTCAGCTTCTTCTTAATTTAGTCTAAATTAATCTCCTCCTCTGTTATAAYGTCTATTCTTCAAAAAAAGCCCAAGAAACTCATCAACTTGAGGTAGCAGATCATTCCCAAACTGAAGCATTCAATTTGCAGAGGTGATAGCTAAGGAGGAGGAGGTCTGGAAGGGCACCAACAACAACTAAGTCCATCATCATAACAGAAAATAAATGACATCATAGCTGCATATTTACACCTACAGTCAAATCAGACACATCAATACGTACAGCATTGTCTCCAAAATATTTGGTGAGTTGGTCAAATTCAGCATCGGTGTAGGGTCTGATGGACTGCTGCTGCACACTCATTGTGAACAGGGGCTGAAAGCACAGACACAAAAATATTTTAAAAATTGGGATATTTTTAAATTTAAGGTTGTTTTGACTTTAATATTACAGTTAAAAGCAACAACAATAATGTGCACTAAGTTATCCTTATGAAAATATATGTAAATCTTTGCATTTGGATGAGAAAGAAAATCTTATTTCCAGATATGCTTTTTTATTTAATATTTTAAAACATTAATTAGTTGCCACAATTTAGATGTTTGTCTGTTCCTATAAAGAAATCCTAATACAACAAAATCTTTAATAACTCAGAGCATGTTCTGTTTGTTTAAAACAGTTTAAAGGAATGGAAACGAGTCTCTAATTAGCAGTAAAATGTTGATAATTACCTCGTAACCTCCCAGTTTGACGGTGACCGTGACGTCAATGGGGTGGTTAACCACGCCCACCACTGATCTGACCAATGAAATGAAAAGAAGGGGAAACCAGATGATGCAGATTAAGAAGAAAATGATGAGTCCACCCATGCCGTATTTTACAATTTTCTTTTTCTTCTGCCCTTTAGGTTGGGGGTATTTCTGAAAAACAAACCAAAGATATTAGAAAACATTGATAATAAAGGGATTTATAATCTGGCTAATGAACAATGACATTGTATGACAGTGTCCTTTTTGTTTGTTTGTTTGTTTACTCTTTAAATCCAACCTTGAATAGTCTGACCTTTATTTTGTTGTTTTTAAACTAAAAGACTCAATCCTGGTCCTCAAGGGCCACTATCCTGCATTTTTAAAATGTTTCTCTGATTTGAATGAATGAGAGAACAGCAGGCTTCCACAGAGCTTAAAGCCCTGCTAAAGAGCAGGAAAAGAACTAAAACATGCAGGATGGCGGCCCTGAAGGACCAGGATTGGGCTCCATCAATTTAGATATTTTCAACCTGCATCAACTCTTTTATCAAATGATAAGACTTCAAATTAAAGTTTGATTTAAAATATGTGAAAAAATGACAGGGTTAAGTCAAAAGTTTAAAGTTGACTCAAGCTGTTAACTCTTCTCATAGTTTGTAGTATAAAATAAGTTGGACATTTCGAAAGGAAAGAAAAATTTCACAATGTATGATTGTCTTTTGTTAAAGTTTATGTTGGTTTCTGTGTTCAGAGCTTGAAGTAAAACTCTGTTATGATTCCATTAGTCTAATGTCACCCACCCAGGACCCTGACGTGCTGCCAAAACAAGGATAAACCACGATGACCCCTCAATAGAATTCTGTGCACGCTCAAAACAACCATGACTTAAACTTTAGGAGTTTACATTAGCCTCTCCACATTGTGTTTCATCTTTGAATTGGGTAATGTGTTTAAATATATTTTTTAATTGGTTAAAAGAGAGATAAAACTTATTCTAGCCTACTTTGTAAAAAAATATGACTTAACTATCCCAGTCAATTACTGAGTTGTAAACCACACGCTTCATACCTTTTCTGTCTCGCGGCTGCACTTTATGATAAAGATGTTGGCATATATGTCCTCGACACACATCCAGTCTGACAGAGACAGTGTGGTATCGGTCCAAACCCAGTCCATAACCGCTCGGAGCTCCACCAAAAATGGCACCAGACGAAACCTACGCACACCATCAAAACCATATCAGATTATTGTTTTTGAGCTATTTAAAGACATTAGACATGTTCACAGATACGCTAGTTTTTAAGTGGATTTTCATAAAACTAGAAGGGTTTTTTTTAGTGGCAACTCTGATCGTACCCTTGGAAGAGAAACAGGTTGAGGTGGTTGTATTTCTTGGTGAGGAAGTTGCCGAGGATGCGGGTAGGGTAACCACAGCGGATCTGATAGGCTGACAGGCCGAAGTAAATGCACTTTACAAAGTACCAGAGTTGGGCCACAAAGTTCTGATTAAACATCCTGGAAATAAAAGCAAAAGGGAATGATTATGGTTATTATTGGTCATTTATTTATCATATGGTTATCTTCATTTTTATCTGTTTATTTGCAGGTGCAAACGGATGGTTGTAGCATTTTCTATTTCAGCCAAGAACCAAAACTAGCAGAAAGTTCTTAATATTTCATCCAGAATAACAGTAAAATGCTAAATTAATGATAGCATAAAAGTTCAGTAATCCGCATTTACAGAAATTGCTATGAAACTCTGGTTTATTTTAGTCTTTACCACAATCAGCTCATCAATCCAGTCTCAATTAAACTTGATTTCTCCATACTCCGGTTGTTCAAAAAGCTATCTACAACATGTGAGATATACACTAAACTGTTCATGACTTTTCTACAAAACAGCTTCTTAAAAGATCCGTTAATATTTTTTGAAACTCAATGCACCTCAACCTCTGGAGTTAGAAAACTGAGGTTCAGCTAAAGCTAACAACCACGAGTGGGGAAAAAAAAAAAGGATGAACCTCTCAGTGACAGCAGGAAGGATGAAGAACATCCAGATGTGGATCCCCAGCACAAGAATCACCTGTAGGTGAAGAAGGTTTACAGTAAACTGGAGAAGTTGCAAAGAAAAATATAGATAAAAAGCAGTTTCAGGCTGCTCTAGAGCCAGCTTCATTTCGTTCACACAACAAACTTAGTTTGAACCTTAAAGAAAGACAGTTTGACTCTGGTCTGACTCTGGTCTGACTCTGGTCTTGGGGGTCAGGTCTGTGGGTCTGCACAGTCACTAGTAAACATTCCAATGGAGAAACCTTGTATATACTGTACATGCATGCTCACAACTACACACAAACACGTGTTCAAATCCACAGTCGATGCAGGGACTGCGTTCACTTCTAATTGTGTATATTTTGTTATTATTATATTCTACTCATAAAATTTACTGAGTATTTTTCAGTGAGGGTATAATTATTACACACATATATATTTTGTTGCTGTGTTTTTGTTTTCTCTCTTGTTGCAGGGGTGGAGGCAGACTTCAAATGTGTTGTCTTGTGTTTTCTTAATGCAACTCTCTCATATCTGGTTTCCTTTTCCATCTCTATTTTTCACTTTTCTGCATTTTCTGTCCTTTGTTTACCTTTTCCCATCTCTGTGTCCGTTACRAATTAATCCCAAGAGAATTTATAATAAAGGTTTCAATATATATTAAGTTAAGTTAAGTGGAGCATCACGGTGAACTGTCATTATGCTGCACTTGTGAAAGTAAAACTGTCGGGCTTCGTTTGGATACTCAGACATCAATTCTGAGTTTCACATTGCCGGACAAAAAAAAAAAAGGGAAGACAGTTTCCTGTTTGTCAGAACAAGTGGGAAAACTCATTCGCTCTGAGAAATGCCTTGATCTAAAGCTATATTTGGACAGATCCTGCATATAATGGGTTAAATATAGAAAACCAACCTGAAAAATGAGTTTTCCCAGCACAGCCTTGCGTAGATATAAGGCTCTGTCAATGATCATGGTGCTGAACTGGATAAGAAGCATGACCAGGAAGGCCTCAGGTACCTGGTCCTCGGACAGAGTGGAGGCGATGTCGGCTGCTGCGCTGTGTTTCTGAGAGAAAAACAAAACGCAGATGTTCAGCAGTTTGAGAGACATTAACAACAGAGCAGAGACGGATGAGTTTAGAAAGGTGCCATAACCTCTGGTAGTGATGATAGCACAACCTTGATCACAGCTGGCATTCATGGAAACTAAATACCGGTGTGAAAACTCTCAAGATGACTTCACTCAAACAATCTTTTATTCATTTTGTTGTACGAACACAATCCACACAAATAATGATGTCCTGCGTCCACACGTCTCATCCCTGCTCAGACAGCGCCCCGGTACAGTCTGTCAACAAGACGACACCCGTCCACACGCTGAGCTGTCTGCATCATGAGGAGGGGTTCCTGTCAGGTCTTCAGTCTTTCCCCGATCAAACGTGAGATCAGTTCAGACCCAGTTCCCTGATCTGCTGCAGACCAGCTACAACAGCTGTGGGCCGACCGTCACAGAGGAGGAAACAATGTCCTCATGTATGACTTCATTCTGCTGAGTCTCTTATTTAGGCCCGAGGGGGGGAGGGGCCCCACCCCACTGACATGGGACCAGCAGGGTAGGGACAAAAGGGTTTAACACATCCAGAAACAAGATACTTGAACAATAAAACCCATGTATTCTTGATACCATCACAAAAAATGTAATATTTATTCAAAACGCTCATTTTTCTGTTGCTTTTAATCCTACAAAATAAGTCTGCACTCCTGTTGCATGTTGACCTTTTAATATCTTGCCTGGTGTCATATCTTTAAACTGCGAAATAAAATCCAATTTATTTTAAATTGTCCTGACGGGAGAAATGTTTAAGCGTGTTTGTCATGCTTATCTATGTGTTAAAGGGTCTTTAAACCCACCACTCAATTCAAAACAATCACCRAGAACTTCCTTACTTTATACACAGACTTGTGATTTGAATCTAACTCCTGACAAACTTTGTGATAGAGAAAAATCGTATTGTCACCCAAACAAATCAATACATTATGTTATGATAAAGCTGGTGAATTACACCTTCACTTTTAATGTCTTACCCCAAAAGCCCAGAAACCAAAGATGATGATGACAAAATCGATGACATCAGTCAGGAACATCAGAGCGTAAACATCTGTGGACGCCCGATATTCAGTCTGGACAATGTTTCTGAAGAAACCCTGAGTCGGTCGCTTTACACTCTGGAAGCTGCAAAAAATAAAACATACATTAATAAATAAATAAGTATTCATCTTATTTTAATTTATTACAGCTCTCTTAATTCAATTCAATTCTATTAAAAAATACTTTATTGAACCCAGAGGGAAATTAGGTAATGTTGAAACTAAAATATAAGTATTATCTCTTTTTGTTTAACCCTTTATTCCAAGTAAAAATTCTACATGTTTGATTGAGGTTATTAAAGGAGACCAATTATGGGTCCTAGAAATTTTTATGGTATGTCTGTGGGCTATCCAGACCATGTTCATTCAATTTAATACACAAAATAATTCTCAGATAATAAAATTTCCCATTTTCTAGTTCTGCCTGCTCTGACTTCCGTTTATGTTAATGAGCTCTGTTGGTAACGCCCTCCAAAAATCTGTTGACATTAACTCTGCCCTCCAAAGCCAGCGTTTACGTTAGCATGGCTAATAATAGCAGAAGCTCCGTTGTACAACCATATGAGACCCTGAGTCAGAGTCGTGGTCACAGCTTCTTTTTTTTCCCCTCTCCCTCCTCTGCTCTGCGCTCACTCTGCATGCTGTTACCAGAGCAGGGAGCAGCAGCGGTCAAAATACCTCAGAAACTCGAACAAATAGGCTTTAACAAGGCTTTAATAAGCTAAACAATAGAGGTACATGAGAAAACGTGTTCATAATGAACGAAAATAAATAAATAATTAAATAGCGTCCATGCCGGTCTCAAACCCTGGTCTCCCCCTCTCTGGTCCAACACTCTACTCATTGCCCTATTGGAGGCTTGTAGTGAGCTGAGCATTACACAACAACACGGTGACGGCTTTTTATATTGAGGAGGTGGGGTCTCACCCAGGGGTTGCTAGATAAGGGGCTGAACGCAGGTTCTGGTGGGTTGTCGTACAGCTTGTGACATCACAAAATGATGGAAGTATAAAACTTGTCGTTAATATACATTAAAAATACATTTACTTACAGTAAATATGCCCCTGGGTGCATTTTTTTGGTCCTAGGACTGTTTTTTTTTTGGAAGTACATACCCAAAGTGGAGTAAAAAACCTTTAAAAAGTGAATTTTGCATAATAGGTCCCCTTTAAGTTAAATCCATGTTTGTGTGTTTGTCTCACCCTGACGACAAGACRTGTTGAATCTTTTGTCCCACTGCCAGTAATCGGAGCCTGGCCTCTGTCCTCCTGCGTTTAGCTTTTTTTGTCTCCTGCTCCTCGCTGGTGTCTGCAGATTCAGCTGGAGGTTCTAGAGGGAGGGCAGAAAAAAGCAAAATAATAAAAATTCAACCAGACTTGGCTCAACTGAAAAAGAAGAAAGTTTCTGAGCATCTGTTGCTTCACTTGACATGGACACTTAAACATGACTTTAGTGCATTAAATCACTCTTACTATTCACTTTTGTTAACCCTTCTATTATGTTGCAGGTCAAATTGACTCGTGTCAAAGTTTAAAAATGTTTTAAAAATAGTTATACATATTTTTTTCAGTATGAAATTTTCTCYATTTGTTTTAACAAGTATAATGAACATATAAAATGAAAACAGCTCATTTAACATATTTGCAACCTCCCCTACATCTTCATATTACATAGATCAAAATGTGAAAAAATAAAAAAATTATAATAATTTCACTTATAACCATTGTTTTTGTGTGTGTGTGGCTTCCTCTAGTGGATATAAAAAACGTAATGTGCATTTTTTATGAAAAATGAGTGAATTGTCCTTATTGATCCTTTATCTGTGAGAAATATAAAAACCATCAACATGCAAATACTGATTGAAATGGTCAGTAATGGAGTCAGTAATCAGACAATGTTTTGGGTGATCTTTTTTGTTTTTTGACATTATTGAATGAGTAAACATTCCCCGGGACAAACTACAGGAACAATATTGCTGTTCCTCAGAAACRAACATAACAGGAGGGTTAAATTACATTACAGCTCRACTAAAAACAGAGTGCTTTGACATTTTTGGAGCACTTTGAAAAACGATCTGCATTTATGAAGCACATTTTATTAACAATACAAACCTTTGATGTGCTTTTCTTTCGATTTCTTCGTTTTTTTCCGGCTTCTGATGCTGCTGCCTCTCTTTGGGCTTTCCCTGTTCGCTTGTTCGTCGTCTCCTTCCTCCTTGTTCACAGGATCCCCATTCTTCCTCCCAGAATGCTCTCCCTCCTCATCTCTGGACTCAGCAGTGTCTGGTTCAGCTTCAAGGGGGTGCACTGATGTAGCCACTGAGCTGGTAGTCGGTTCAACGTAGTCTTCATCATCCTGTAGGAACAAAAAAATTAAAACTTTTGAAAAGGTTTTCAAATATCTGCGGAAGGGTAGTRACTGCCTCGGATAGTTGTCAGGAGCCTAAACATTTTATTTTAAACTGTTAATATCTGCGCCGACCTGTTCAAACGGGTTCTTTTCAAGCTTGTCCAAGTCCTCCAGGGTGGACGAAGTACTAAATGTATAATCCTCCCCCTTCACTTCTTCTTTTTCCTTTTTCTTCTCCTCATTTTCCTTCCCTTCTTTAGCGTTTTTGTCTTTCTCCTTTGAAGTGCTTTTCTCATCCAGGGGTCCCTCGTGGTCCCACAGACCGTATTGCTGCAAACAGATAAACAAAATGTTTAATTAAAACTCATCCTACATGGTCAGGAGAGTTCAAGGGAAATTCTGTCTATTTAAAGGTGAGGTTCATAGACCCATACTATTTCATCACATCAGCATCARTTTGATCAGTCGGGAATTTTAGATGAACAGTTCGACAATGAATCTGCAAGCTGTAGAAAAGACTGATGTTCTGTACTGAAAGAGGGGAATAAAGGGATATTCTGGACTTTTTGAAGTGAAGCAAGCAATTAATATCTTACCKGCTGCAGATGAWGAATGATCTGAGTTTGGAGAAATAGTTAAATTTTGACCTGATTGTGCTTTTTCTGTCGCCTCACAGGTTACAGATTTAACTTTCGGCAGCAGTGTTTTTATTTAGAATCCGGACGTTCTCCACGTACATGCATGRGTTKWCTTCAGGTACTCCAGTTTCTACCCACATTCTGAAAACATGCACATTTGAGTGTTCCWGTTCAGGGTGAACCTCGCCTCTCGCCCACAGACAGGAGGAGAGAGGTGCCAGCTCTCCTGCGACCATGAACAGGAGTAAGAGATTATAGGTGAAGACTGATGAGTAAACTGACTCTATGTATGAGTTTGTGTTTCTATGTTGGTCTTGTAGTTTGTCCAGAGTGTGCCCCACCTCTGCTCTGTGGACTGCAGGGACAGGGTTCCCTCTGTGACCCTGAAGAGCCAGTAATGAGTGAAAGTGAAAGTGCAGTTGTAGTAGTTGTTCTGGTCCAAAATACTGATTATGGTTTTATTTCATTAATTTTTTTAATTAATTTAATTTAATCTAATTTAATT